TGAGTTTTAAAATCAATTCAAATCGATTAAAATCGATTAATAACGATTGGAAGAAATCAAATTATATCAATTAAAGTCGATTAAATTTTTAAATCAATTCAAATCGATTAAAAATGATTAATAACGATTGAAAGATATAGAATTATATCAACTAAAGTCCATTAAATTTTAAAGTCAATTCAAATCGATTAAAAGTGATACTAATAGTATTGATTTTAATTGAAAGCAATACAAATTTTATTGATTTCTATCGAATTAAATCGACTTCTAAAATTTGAATCGACTTCAATTGATATGAATCGACATCATTTAATTGTTTTTAATCNATTTTATATGTAAAAAATGGCGGTACAATTTAGCTTAGAAACCGATTGAAAAATTTTCAATCGACTTTAGTCGAATTTTTCCAGCAGGGATTGTTCACATTTTAGTAAGACGAAGATTTAATACTTATATTTATTTAACACGTTGACGCCGGCGCCGATATTTAGGGTTTTCTCTGTGAAGCGGCGCCCGAATGCACGGTCTGCTTCGTGGGGCGGCGCTGATGCACGCCGCTTTACGGGACAGGCACGTGTGACCCACCGGTGATGCACGCTAGCGTCAACGTGTTAATACCATAAAGCATACTCATATCGCAACATTTCATCGGTATGACAGGTTTCCTAACCTGGCAAGTCGTCAACTTTGACGATTAATAACTCACTTTGCGAGGCACAGCAACACTTTTTCTTCCAGATTCTTTCGTTTCGTGCAAAAACTCATCGAATAAGCGTAATTTCATCGATATTTGTACTGATGTAGCTAAACTAAATAATTACTATTGCTTTTACTATGGTACAGCCGCCGGAAGGACATTATTAAAAAAGGACAGTCTTCTATTGTTATATCTTACATCAGGTAATAATTCATTGAATGACATAATAACATGAAAAGTGATTTTATATTCTGATACTGATTATTTTGATTCTTATATTTCATTATATATGTGTAGCAGATGTATCTATACAGGAAGAAAGAAACGAATTTTCAAATAGTGAGTCTGAATTATCATACAAATTCTTTGCATCAACAAGTGAAACAAATAAAACATGTTGTACTGAGGACACTGCTATAAAAAGGTTATTGTTTATTTTATTTCATTACTGAATGTGAGAATACAGTAAATATTTTTGATGCTTTATGATATGTGTTTATTAATTTTTATACTTTTAGATCTGGCGATGTCCTTGAGGATGAAATCCCAAAGAAGCAAATTTGTTTGGAGAATAGGCTTGTGGAAAAATCAGCTACAGATGATTCAGTTGAATCTTATCGGTTGCAAGAAATAAGAAAGGAATTAATTACAAAAGGTAAAACAATATCTTTTTTAAAACGGCAAGTTTGATGATTATGTTAAATGAAATATTCCATAAAACATAATCAAAGAACTTATATTTGTCATATTTGACATATGTCATGCCAGCAAACTAGTACGGAATACATTTGGAGATAAAACAATATTAACAGATGGTGATGGAAATACAATCAAGTGAGATTATTTGTAAAAATTAGTTGCGTATCAATATCAATATAGTTTATATGCTGGAATTAGAATTAAAAAACGTCACTTAAATTTTTAAATAGAGAAAATCAGAATTCGCTTAGCTACTCAAGTATTAAGTTGTAGTGTTGGTAACGCATTATATTTTCTGAGAACATCAATCAAACTACCTGAATTTTTAAATTCTTTTGGTACAGAGAAATTTTGTACGTTGATGAATAATACTTTTGACTTGCTCAATTCGAGACAAAAGTATATCAAAGATTCAAATAAAAGTTTTATTAATTGGAACAATATTATTGAATTTCGATCAAAAGTTATGGAATATGAAAATTACATTATATCGTCTCATTATGATAATACACTAATTTTGAATACTAAACAAAAATTAGGTTTTTATAGCTTCATAGTATCAATATGAAGTTGTATAGCTATATTTAATTAATATACATCGACTAATAAGTCACCTCTACAATATTTATTGAC